ACATGCCCAAACTGCTGTTCTAAAAACGTCCGCTGAACTGTACTGCAGTTTCAGCAATACAAAATTACAAGATGGCGACGGCGGAGGTCCTCACGACGATTATAAGAAGAAACAGGCCAGGAACGAAGGCTGCGGTTCGTCTTTCTTATTTCTATTACTAAAAAATCGTAGTTTTTTCATGTTTCTGTCAAACTTATCATTAGGGGGATTAACTTCGTTAGATTTACCAAGAAGAAACATGTTCAATGATAGAGATATGAGCCCGGTGAACATGAGAAAGATGTTTTTTTAGCCAGTGACACACACTTGCAAAACATTAAAACTATCTGCGTAGAATTTTCACGGAAAAAGAGTTCAGTTCCCAGAGGAGAGGGAAACACTTTGGTTCTGTGTCCACCAGCATGGCCACCATGATGTCAGCTGCAAAGGAGTCATTCATAATGGATTACAAAAAAACAATCTCTTGCTGACAGAAATCTGAGAACTGAAATAGAGGGTTATGCTTCCCTCTGAAATAATGCAGTGATCATCACTGGCGAAAAGAAGCATAAAAGGTCTCAAAATGGTGAATTCTGTGTTGAGGGTATATCTCATGTTCATTTTACTTTCAAGCACTACCACATAATCAGCAGCCATGTCAAAACCATCACAACTTTATCCTTAGTCTCCCTCACAGCCGTTGTTAATGTTGTCACACAACGACACTTAAAAAAGCTGCAAGGGAGACTACTCGATCCCTGGTCATCATTTACTTTAAAGTCTAATAATAATTTTAATTAAAAATACATGTACTACCGTATTTTTTCTTTTTTTTTTTATGGCTTGCAGTAAAGCTTGTGATGACTGTTTCTTTTCAACAGGACATGTATGGGTGGCCTGATGAACCTTTCGAGGAGATGGATAGTACATTAGCTGTCCAGCAGGTGACCAAAGAGCTGTGAATTACTATTTTTATTTCCACAATCCACAAAGGGTAGTTTACTAGCAGAGGCTTCTTTTCTTGGTATTCAGTGGGCTAGGGAAAAAGAGATGTTGTCCACCTAATGCCAGAAAAAAGAACCCTCTGCTAGCATGGAACACAAAAAGGGCATGAAACTTTGCTTGTACAGTGGTGCAGTGTATTGCTAACCTATCTGTTTGTTGATTAAGTCTTACAGTATGGTGTGACTGTTCAAAAGAAACCACATCTCCAGTTCACCCATTTTAACTGTCATTCTCTAAGCTCAATATTACTGTAAATGATCTATTAGATGCCCACTCTCAAATAAGCATCTCTCGTAGACCAAAGTAGTGAGGTCAACCTTAAAATCCTGTGTGTTCATGTCAGCTACCTTATGTGTATTATATTTGTAACCTGCTTTATCAAATAAAATGGTTATGATAATGATGATGTCAATTAATTTGGTTATGAATCTGTTCACTGACATTTTACCTATGACAGAAATGTATCACTTTCATCTGTTCCAGTTTTTTTTTTTTTGTTTTTGTCTGTTTATCTTTACAAATTCAAATTATTTTGACAGTGACTGCTTTGCAAAGTTTAATGCCCTTAAATCAGTTGCTTGATCAAAAATGCAAGAATATTATAAGGCCGTGCAAGATACTTTGTCATCCTTCTCTTCTTTATTCCCACCTACTTGTTGTATTTACCCGGCAACTTGAAATCCTAGTGACAGCCCTTCATTTTTGTTATTGTTTTAGTATATTCAGCAACAGATCAGAGCAGATTTCACCAATATAGATGCCATCTTAGAATCACCAGAAGGACAAGATGAGGGAGTGTGGAAATATGAGCATCTCAGACAGTTTTGCATGGAACTCAATGGACTAGCTGTCAAACTTCAGGTAATTAATAATAATTAATCGTTGTTATTGGTAACCTAAGCAATGCTAGTAGAAAGTGGGGAATTTAACTCTTTAAGCCCCAATATCCAAATACAAATTCGCAAGACTGATTTCTGTACATTCACTTAATGAATTAGTTGGGAGAATTTGTTTGAAGATCAAAGTGTTTTCCATGAAGTTATTGCTTTATATATTCTCACATCATTTTCTCTTGATTATGTATTGATATCATTAGGAAAAAAAAATTGATTTTCATCACTCGCGGGACTTTTAACCCTTTAAAAAGGGTTAACAGTAAGGAAAAATGTTTGGCACTATTTTCCTTTTTGTTCCCTTTTCAAAAGTACGTGTATTCAGGGATTACAGTCTTAGCAACTTGGGAAAATCCACCAACTTCATCCCTTAGTTAAAATCGTGTTTACTACATTGCATCACATCACGTGTCGTAGTGTGAAAGATCAGAGTCACCCTATATACATGTAGCAAGTACTCTTTCAGATTTACAGCTTGCAAAAGCACTTTACAATGATAAATTCTCACCTGTCACAACAATATTTGATAATTATTATATTGAAAATGCTAATTGAAAGTTGCATCTGCCATAAATGGAGTTTGCAGTGATTCTTCAGAAATTTGAGTCATTTTCTGCAGGTTAATTAAGTTTATCATGTAGCATTTTTATGTTCACGAACATGTATGTTCAATCTGTAGCAGTTTTAGAAACCACCATTGTTTGTGTGTTTTTTTTCTTTAGACTGACTGTACTCCTGCAACTTGTACTCAAATGACAGCCACAGAGCAGTGGATATTTCTGTGTGCTGCACACAAGACTCCCAGAGAAGTAAACCCTACTGTATTATGTTATTTCTAATGTACATTATAGACATTTTTTGTAGACAGAGGTTTCCATATTTGCAAATTCATTTACGTCATTTTATAGTTTGCTTGAGCTTGAAGGCTTTACAGTTTACACACAGATGTACATGTAAAACACATTGCATCACAGCTACTTGTGCCAAAGAGCTAGTCATATAATAAGACCAGTCTCTAATACTTTTCCATCCAACTTAAAATTGTGTATGCTACGACTTGTTTTTATAGAAATAGAGTTGAGATTTTTCCATCCAGTAAAAGACATCTGTAGTAAAGGACAGTCATTAGGGTTTTAAGTAGCTGTTCTGTCAGCGAAAGTAGCTGATTTTACTGTAGTAGCCAGCTACAGTACTTACAGCTACACTTACAGCCTTGTTGTCGTCCGCTATCCTAATCTCCAGGTTGCTATTACACATGCATTGCATGTTTGTAGCCAGAATTCGTTTGGACTTCCACGGAAAATGAATGGGGTCAATGTACAAAATGCAATTTGATCACCTGCATTTGGACCTTCTGTCACTCGTAATCTGATCACGTGTGTTCTGACCATTTGTCACATGAAACTCATGCAAAGCATAGTGCTGGCGCAAAAGTGTTTTGAAATTCGATCCTTGTCGCCTGTATTCCATAACCTTTGGTTATTACTAATGATAAATTATCCAATCAGTATGTGTTATCTCAAATCACACCTTTAAGGGACGGACCATTAGAAAAGTTTTTTTTGGGGGGGGGAGGAATTTTCGAGCGGCAGGAATTTTTTTTGGTTATCAAATTCCTTGTATGAATTTTTTTTAGTCCATAGCATGAATATTTTTTAGGATTAATTGGCATGCATGAATTTTTTAAATTTAATTTTCCCTTGCACGAATATTTTTTTCTACTTCGCCCCCACCCCCCCCCCATAAGTCTTCTAATGGTCCGTCCCTAATTGGACAATATTACAGTTGTACATATTAAATTGAAACTTTGACTGCAATTTACTTTTACTTTTTTCCTCCCTGCTTCTTACACTGACATTGTCCATCACAGTCAAACATACAGGCAACAGACTTGTCTCACCCACCCTGAGAAAACGGTTGCACCACAAACTGACTCTAAGAGACAATCATAGTTACACAATGGACATAGTTCATGGTCTCTTTTGTTTACAGTGTCCAGCTATCGACTACACAAGGCATACTCTGGATGGAGCAGCATCACTACTGAACAGCAACAAATATTTTCCCAGTAGGTTAGTATACGTTTACAGTCTGGAAAAAAGTCAAATTCGTATAACCTTTCCAGGATACAAATTGTATGTAACTGATAGCCTTGCTTGTGTCGAAACTTTGTCCCAAGAAAGTTTGAGACATGCAGGACAAAACGTATTCTTTTCTAAAAGAATCTTGGCTACATATATACAGTACGGTCACACAAAATTTCATGTAAGACTTCATATAATGTCCTAAATCATAGGTCAATTTTGTGGGCGGGGTGGTAGGAAGGGGGGGGGGGGTGTTGACATTCCGGGGGATAGTGCAAAGGAGAAAGTCTCCAGATTTTAGATCTCCAGAGGTTAGCATCTCTGCTTACTATCTTTTCTTTTTTCTTTTTCTTAGTTTGCTGGTAATAAATTCCCTTTTAAATAAAAGAGCAACCACAACTCCAAATTTCAGTCAAAAGACAAAATCATATGAAACCTCTTGTCTCTTTATCCACACTTTCACTTGGAGATTTTTGTTTTTCGGCATTTTGCAAAATAGAATTTACAAACGTTGTCGAATAGTGACTTCGATCACTATTGCAACCAATCCCTGTGGGAGCTGTAACCACGGAAACAGCAGCTGCGTAACAATGAACCTTGTTTCTCTTTCTAGAGTGAGCATCAAAGAATCATCAGTAGCCAAACTAGGATCAGTTTGCAGGCGTGTCTACAGAATTTTTTCACATGCATATTTTCACCATCGTAGCATTTATGATGAATTTGAGGTAAGTTTTGCAATGAGATTCAGATAAAGTTTTAACTTTTTTCTAACACTGTCTTGAGCTCATTAAAAAACTTATAAAGAAAAAACAAAAGAAATTTAAAATGTTTAATGAGTGTCTTTATATCTGATAAAGACACGGCTAAACGAAAGTCCAATTTTTTAGACCAAAATAATCCCAAATCTTAATATTAGTTCAAGAATGAGTTGACCTATATCTGAGATTTTAAAGCCGTTCAAAAAACTCGCAGTGATGTATTATTAGGTATAAAAACTCGAGGCGAAGGCGGAGTTTTTAAACCTGATAATACACTCCTGCTCGATTTGTAAACAGCACTTAATGCATAAGGTTTTAGGCCAGTTCTCACGCTAAAATTTTAGTGCGTTGTTTTCAAAGGTTCTTGTCGTGGTTAAGCGTGAGAAGGAACTAATTAAATTTGTCTCACTCGTGAGACAGCCTCCTTTATGCAGCGGTTCTTGAGGTCAAAAAAAAATTGTGCATACTCGAGTCTAGGTAGCTATTGAATGAACACTGAAAAGCAGTTAACGAGGAGCAACATGGCATTGGTTCTTAGAGCATTTATTTCACGTTCATCATTTTAAATCTCTCGCAATTTCGCCTTTTAAGAAACTACTTTAATTTACCAATACATTGAAAATGCACTGTATATACCGCCGAGGCCCTACAGTGGTAAGTCAATTGGCCGCAGAAGGACTAGCTTAGTCAGTAGAGCGGGAGGTCGCTAGCCTCCCATGAAGACATTCTTAAGGGTACGTCACACGTTCCTGTGGGGCAGGAACGCGTGACGAACCTCTAAGAACGTCTGCTAGGAGGTCGCAGGCTCGGGTCAAAAACCATGGTCTAAAACATATCTGAGAAATGAAGGCCTTTTTTCCCGGCAATTGGCTAGCCTTCTTCACGTGTTCGGATGACCACGTAAAATGTTAATTGCGTGTTTTTTTTTTGACATGACTTTGCACGGTCAAACGAAAGCCTGCTTTTTTTCTTTTGCAGAATGAAACTCTTCTGTGCAAGAGGTTCACAGCCTACGTGTTGAAGTATGACCTCATGGCGAAAGAGAACCTTATTGTGCCCATGGACGAAGCTGCACCCTCACCCCCTCCCCCTGAGGGTCCTAAAGATGATGGACCAATGGACAGTGAAACATGAATGACTTAACAGGATTATTAAACAAAATATCATGGATGGTATTTACATTCTAATTGCCAGGAGCGACTCTGTGAAATTTTACAGAAATACAAGTTAAATCACAAGGATTGCTCTTTGGGATTTTTTCATCAGCTTAAAAGTTGGAACATCTTTTTTCATCATAATAGACAATGTCACAGCAAAGTATTGTTCAATAGCTTTTATTTGAAAAGTTACGCTGTAGGATTTTTGATATTTACTGAAAAGCTAGAACCATCTTGTACAGCGTAATAACACTACCACAGGAAAGAAATGCTCCGTAGCTTTCTTTTGAATGGTCGCACTTTAGGATATCGTCCTCTTAAACAAAGGTTAGAACAACTTTGTATAGTATATAAATAGTGCGGCTGGAAAGTCACTTTAGGATTTCAACCACAGACACAAAAGTAAGAACCACCTTGTACAGCATAATAAACAGTACCACAGGAAAGTACTGCTCCGTAGCTTTTATTTGAAGAGTCACACTTTAGGATTTCATCCACAGACACAAAAGTATAGGTTAGTAAACACTGAGCATATCAGGACGATAAGCCTTTTTCCCGCCATTTCAACACTCTCGCAGATCACTTCTGACATACTCTGTTCTGTGTCGCATAGATCCCAGGGGGGAACTCGACCAAAATTTGAGTATAAGTGAGTCGCTTAGAGTTTGAAATCCTGACCTTGTTTAGGACAACACCCCCAATTTTATTACCCTGTTTAGGTGACAGGATAAAATGCTTGCCGACGTTTTTTAAAGCCATTTATTGGCAATTGCAAAAGAGAAAATTCACGTTAATTATAGTCAATGGTTTTGTATACGTCGGGTACAAACAAATTTCATCCTGTTTATAATCAGGACAGCTCGCACAAATTATATGCCCTGTTTAGGACAGACTAGCGCAAAATTATATACCCTGTTTAGGAAAGAGAGGTCAAAAAGCATACCCTGTCCAGCGGCACATCTCGCATAGGCCATAGAAAGGAATCACCCCCCCCCCCCGCCCCCACCGGGCACAGATCTCATTTGTTATTATACACCACGTATTGCAATTATCATAACGTCCCAAGGATAAGATCTAGAAGGAGGAAGTGGTGGGTCCAATGTATCACATACAATGTAACACATGTGAGGATGTTGGAGAAACAGATTAACAATTTGTTCATGCGTCAGCGTGCGTATGTCGAGATATTGAACACGCGGGAAGTTTGGAGAGCACGAAAACTCTAGCCTCTTGAGTGCTCTCTACACTTCCCAAGTGCTCAATATCTTGACATTCGCACAGCTGAAGCATGAACTAATTGTTTTATAACATTATCAAGGCCATCAATGCAGCAGCTAAGTAAATTTTTTATTATTGTAGCTCGCGCTCAAAGCAGTACGCGTCAATGTCTGCGTGACTATATTTTTTATCTCACAATTATGTTTTTGTCTTGAAACTGAGAGAAAGTTTTCTCAAGTCGCTTAAGATAACATGAAACGGAGAGTGTAAATTTCATATTGAGCTTCCGGACACCTATTAATTCACAGAAAAACTTTTTGAAAGAAATAACTTTGCAAAGAATGATTTGCACACGCCACGAGGAGATGACAACAACAACAACACTCACCTCTTTTCCCTGCTATCGGTTGACAAATTCAGAACTGTTCTCTTTATAAAACACATTGTTAACGCCTCATCATGTGCTGTTGAGTTACCGATGCACTTGGGAGGATTGCTAAGCTCACAAAAACTCCAGGTATAGTTTATTGACGTCTTCAGCGTGCTCAACGGGAATATGAAGCACGCTCGCGCTCTTGAATTTGATTAGATGAATCTTCTAGCTATGTTATAAAAGATCTTTGAGGTCTCCCGCACATTCACGTAGATCACCCTGGACACATGACAGATCTGGAGAGGACCAAGATATTGACTGTAGAACCTAACTAGTCCCGAGAAAAGTCCGAGACTTCTAGACTTAAAACTCGACTTAAATTCAGCTAGGATCTCATTTTTTGAAAAGCCATTCACCACCCAAATAGTTTCAAGAGAAAACGATGCAGGGAAACCTAAGCTTTATGGGCATGGTCTTACAAGTGTAAAACTATAAAGTTTAATGAAATGGGAATATTATTCGTCTCCGTTAGTTGTTTACTTATTTGCCACACAGCTCTACTGAGAAAGATAGTTTATCCTCCGGCGTAATACATTATTTAAAAAATCAAACAGCCGCAAAATCTGTGATTGCCAGTTTTTTCGAGACTACGTGACTGTTATTCAGCCCCCGTCTGCTCATAGCCGGATATTTTTGAATGCACAAATTTTTCTTTGCGGATTCAAAAATTTTCACGTCCACACTTATCCGCATTCACTCTCAGTTCGTCAGCTAATTTGTAAAGCGATCTCGAGCGAAAATTTTATTGCCAATCGTCTTTAATAACTATTTCTGACTCAGTGACAAAATTGCCCCAGCAAGCATTATTTCGCTCGTTTAACTAGTTTACGGCGTCGAGTTCGTCCGTCCGACATGTAAAGAAGCTTCAAAATGTCGAGCCACCGTTTGGCATAATCAGAAGTGTACAGTAGTCATAGCTACAATTGTAGGTTTAACTGCACACACGTTATAAGACTTGAAACTGAAAGTCCAAGAAGAAAAGAAGCGATAACATTGCGCTCGGCGACGTCTCGAAAAATTCAAGGAAAGAACTGGGCCATCGTATCTTGTGACGTCCACACTGGATACAAAATATCCGGATTTAGCGTCCACGCGATTCCGGATCGTAGCGTATTCAAAACTTTCCACTCTGTGGAGAACGGATTAAAAAAGTTGTGGATTCGAATGCCGGATCAGTATACCGCATACGTGTGGACGGAAGCCGAATCCGCAGGGAAAAAGTTGAGGATTGAAAAATATCCAGATACGTCAGCAGTGACGTCAGTACCTGACGTCTGTCCTGAAACGTCGAGTTGGACATCGAGTTCGAGTTAAAGTTAGACTTCGTGTGGGACTTGGAGTTGGAACTTTTTTTTTTAATTAGACAACAACTGTTGCGTGACTTTGAGGATTTCGCAAGAAGAAATGAGACTAAGATACATTTATCACGGGCAGGATATGGAACCTCACCCTTTTCACGTTAAATCAACGTGAATACCGCCAATTCAACAACTGATTCAACCGTCAGTAGCCCTTGAACTATTTAGAAGAGGTGAAAGTACAGCATGCAGAGGTGAATTTTACAAAGCCCAATTATAATCTCCCGCCTAATTGAAATGAATTGTTTTTAACTGAAATGAATTTTTCTGTTTTAATTGAAATGATTTTTTTAAAAAATCGAAAGGAACATGAACTTATGAAATGAAATGACTTGTAAATAGTGCTTTGACTAAAGATTCTTTTTTATTCAGCGATATTAATTGTAAATAGGTTTTAATAGTTAGTTTTTTTATTACGAATGCTTATCACGTCACTGTAAATGATTCTTTATTCCCATGCAAATAAAACTCGTTTTATGAAAAATAATCTCCCACCTGAAGAACGTGAGGCAATTAAAATTCACCTTCGGAGCGTCAGATTTCACGTTTAGTTTCACGTGACTTTTGATGACCTTTGTTGTAAGCGAACTCCGAAAGTTCGGACACCTGTTCTCTCCCACATACTGTAATTGTACAAGCTACGAGTCGCTATTAGAATTTCCGTTAACTTAAATATTTTCCTTCCCTTTCGCTCTTTGAAAATCAAACTGTTTAAGGTTCAAAATGTCAAAGAAGAAGATCAGGAGTGACTGTGACCGCCTCGAGTGTGGTGAGACAGAAAAAATGTTCGCCGGAATTAATTCCGGAACATGGAGTTTCAACAAGCGCGTGGAAATCTCCTCTGCAGTTGAAGAATGGTTTTGCCCGGTGGATCTAAACTTGGAAAAAATGAAACTAATGATGCAGACACACTTATAATTTATGATACTGCATTTGCTCACATTTTCATCTCGACCGCCTTTTATACACTCGGGTTTACGGGTTTAATTTAAACTTATGCTTATCTTACCTGAAGCACACTGCCTCCGTTTGTCTCTACACGATTAAATACAAAGTCAGTAAATGTTCACAGAAGCGTGCACGTTTTTGCTACAGATATATGTGAACAGCCTCTTGATTCAACTTAGCAGTTAGTAAATAATCAACATCAGCGTCATCAGAAGTGTCGAGTCCCTGTTTGCCGTAATATACAGTTGAAAATATAATGTCGTAAACAATGGTCTTTATAGCGAAAATGGATTGGAAATTAATAGCGTGTGATCAATAATTTTGAAATTTGAATTATGATGTATTATGAAATTTGCCTACATCACTGGTTTTTATCTCTTTCGAAGTTTAGTTCCAATGTTAAATGTTAAAACCATTTCAGCTGGAGGCGGGAATTTCCACTGAAGCACTGAAGTCCTTGTTCCTGCAGTTCTGCCATGCTCTTGGCCTTAAAATCGCTCTTACAGTTGACTCCCGATAACTCGCCCGCCCGCTAAGTCGAACCTCGCTCTAACTCGAGCCAAAACCGATTTCCCCCAGTCTCCCACGCAGGCGTTTTTAGGGAAGCTCGTATTTCTTCCCTCCCTTCTAGATTTCCCCTGGATTTCCTTCATACATTTACTGTAATTTTACCCTCGGTAACTCGAACGCTCGATAACTCGAACCTCCCGCTGACTCGAAGTAGTTTTTGTTTCCTCTCAGATCATTTCTATATAATTCTACCCTCGATAACTCGAACCGTGTTTTGAGCTCTTTTTATTTAATTAAAAGTCGGTAAAAAACAGTCTACTGGCGTCCGAAACATTGAATTTTGAATTTCCCATTGACGTGTTGTAGGCATATAGTTTACTATTGGAGGCTGATGTCAGTTGTCACAAATCTAACGTGAAACAGCTTTACTTCTCAAAACAGTAAAACGCATGCTCCATTTTGGCAATGTTTTGTTACGTTATGTTCTGATTTATAATCTAGAAATATCTT